GGGGGAGCCTTTTGACCCCATGCTGGGACACCCTTCCCTGTCAGGAAGTTCTTCCTCAAGCCTTCCCGTTGCACCTGAGGTGATTCCCTCTAACGTTCCCCCAGAAGCCCAGGGAGGCTGGTCCTTACCCTGGCTGACCTCCAGGCTTACATCAAAGGACAGGCCTCGGGTATTGATGCCCAGACCACACTTGTAGCGCCCGGAGTCATTCCGGGTGAGCTGGGCAATGTTGACCACGAATGTGCCACTCTCCGGGAAGTTGGTGAGGTTGGCTCTGCCCACATAGTCCTTGGAGACATAGCCCACTGAAGAGATGAGGGTCGTGCAGTGGCCGCTGGCCCCTTGCCGGCACCAGTACTTGCGGGTGTGCCGGTTGACGGAGCTAGGGGGGTAAAAGCACTGGATGGACACTGAGTCACCTTCCACTCTGCTCACCTCCTGGGGGCCAAATATGGGACTCTTCATGGAGACCACTGTGGGGACAGAAGACAGAGGCGTTCTGAGGCCCTTGGGCAGTAAAGCCTGCTGAAGGGGTCCACACAGCCCACCCTGAGGACGTGCAATTTTCTACCCAACTCATGTACCATCTGTGGGTTATTCACTATACTACAGCCAGACAATTGCTGTGATTGGGAAAAATGATTGCTTAATCATTGTTAAACTCTAATGTAATTCATTAATGATAACCATTTTAAGGACAGTGAAACCACAAACTTATGATATCCCTTTTTTTTTAAATGCCATTTTTGCATTTGCTATCTGTTATTTCCTTATATTTCTAAAAACGCTTTGTAGATGATTTTCTTTTTTCCTAGATAAAAATATCGAGAGCCAGGAAGCATAAGTGATTTTCCCCAAATCCCATAGCAAATCATAGAGATGCTTGGGTTTGAGGTCAAGGTCTTTTTTTTTATTCCCAGAGAAGACCCTTCACCAGATCCCTAATGGAAATTAGGAATTGACATTCCTGTCCATGATTCCCAGTGCTCACCAACCCATTTTCAGACACGGCTCATCTGCATTATCTGTGTGACTCCTTTCCCAGGGACTATACATTTGGAGAGGGGCATCCCAGGGGATGATCCTGATTTCAGTGTCCCCAGGGAACTGGATCCTGGAGGAGGATGGGGTGAAGGGGGTAGAGCTCTGGGGAGTTGGGACCTGGCAGACTCACCTGGGAAGACAGCCAGCATGCAGGCAAGCAGGAAGAACATTATTGCTGGTGGCTGCTGAGGAGGCTGTGCCACCTGTGACCTCCTGTGTGAAATGCTGAAAGACAATAATCCCAGGAGATGAAGCTCCGCCATCTTCTAAGACTAATGGACCTTAGAGTTTTGGTAGCACCTACTTGGCTTTGTATCTCCAGCAACTGATGTAAATCCTGTTGAACGAATGAAAGAATGGCTCCACCTTTCCTATAACAACTCGAAGTCCTGTCACCTATGGTACTTACTGTTCCTCAATAGTTACAAGCAGTTTTTGTCTTCTCAACTAAGCTGCAAGTTCCTCTGGGATAGATTCACGGAGCCATTTCTCTGTAACCCTATTCAGGAGGTAAGGTCCTGGGCACGCTGTAAAATCTCAGGAACATCTCACTGGGTGATTATTTACTACCAATACGTGGCGCCATCTTTCTGTTTTTGCTGCCCTCCCTGCATCCCTGGGAGGTGGAGGTGGCTGGCATAATTTTTCATGTGTTCAGATGACTAAACTGAGATCAATAGAGGAGGTCTAATAATTATTAAGGTTGTAAATGTAATGATAACGGTCACAATCACCACCAATTTCTCTCTTACCATGTCCCAGGCACTATGTTAAATAATTTACATGTGTTATCTCATTTAAACTTGATATCAATCCTATGAAGTGGGTATTCTTATTCATATCTTACACTGGAGGGAATGAAAGCTTAAAGGTTAAGCTTAAGGCTTAAAGGTCAACAACTAGGACACATTCTGAGAAATGTGCTGTTAGGTGACTTTGTCATTGTGCCACCATCATGGAGAGTTACTTATACAGACCTGGGTGGTATAGCCTACTCCCTACCTAGGCTATATGGTTTAGCCACCATTGTGTACATGGCCTGTCATTGACCAAAACATCATTATGCAACGCATGACAAGATCCCACAGGTGTTAGTGTCTATGGGTGGGCAGAGTGGAGGTGGGGGGGAGATCTGAACCCAAGTTTGTCCGACTCCAAAGTCCATGCTCTTAACCTCTCCACTGCTCTGCATTGCACCTCAAATACAGCCGCATGAGCATACCTCATGCTTAGAGCCCATTCCTTGTCAAAGCACTGTCATTTACACTATCTCACCTGAGCTTTATAACTTCCCTCTAAATAAGACGGATGGATATAATCACAACCATTTTATGGATAACAAAATAGAGATCTTGAGATGCTGAATGATGTGCCCAAGGTTTCCAAGCGACTTGGTCGTAAGGTCGAGGTTAAACGTAGGTGTTATGGTTTTTGTAATTCTGCCTGGTGAGGTCTGGCAGACAGAGATGGAGAAGCCAACATAAGACCACTCACAGGGTGCAGCCCGTGTGGACACTGTCACACCAGGACACAGCCCAGGGCTGGGGAGATTTGAGGGTCCCAAGGCCCTGCCTTCCTGCAGCTGTCCTCAGGATCCAAACTGCAGCCTAGAGGAGAGGGGAGAAGAGAGGAGGCCCAGTTTTCCCACAGACGTTGACAGACTTTAAATCTTGGAAGAGACTTGACAAAGAGACTATTAAAGGAGAAAACAATGATGATAAGCCCTGGCAGTAATGAGCACCGTAAAGATAAGGAAGCTCTGGGCAGGAGGGAGCCGGCATCGTCTCCGGGCCTTCCTCGCCACCTTGGCCTCTGCTCCTGTTCTCAGAGGCTCCCTTCATGAGCTTGAGCCAAAGGCAATAGAGTTGTTTATCTTGGTTATTTCATTTCTCTAAGGGAATTTCCCAAGAAGGAACACTTTTATTTCCTTGTGGAGATAAAGGTATTCTGTTTCTCCATTCTTTGGAAGAGTGAGGGGGGGTGGGGTAGGGACAGATATGGGTGTCAGGTAGCAACTCTTGAGGATTTCTTGCCTGGTTAATCACCCCAGACCTTTCTCACCAGGCTGATGATTAACTCCTGGAGTGGTGCCTTCGCCAAAAACACTTGGGTGCTCTCGGGGGACGCTGGCTGCGGGATCACCTGAGTGGGCACTGCAGATGGCCATGGGAGAAGCTCCCAGGTGGGAGTGACTTTCAGAAGGCTGGGAAGTCTGTCTTCTCTGGAATAGTTGGGATGGGCTGGCAGCAAAGTCCCTGCAAATCTACCACTTGCCATTTGTACCGGCCTTGGGTGCAGTTACAAGTGGGAAGACAAAATGCCCTGTGCTTTTTAGATCCCCCAAAGTGGGCTAGCAGTGGCTATCTTTGGTTCTGGTCCCTGTCCTCACTTCTAGATAAGCGAGCTTCCTAGTATTTCTGTAAGACCAGAGTGAGTCTTTCTATGGGCTGGGCTGGGGGAGGGGATGTAGCCCCTCTTCTGGATTGGTGAAGTGGCTTGCCCTGAGTCACAGAATCAGATACCAGGTTTTCCAAGGTGGGGGTCCCGACTTCCGGCCCAGACTTCCTCTACTTTTGTGACATGCTTGGGTGGCCGTGCCTGTCTGCATGGAGTGGGGCATGTGTGTGTACCCCTTACCCTTTGCATAGTCTCAAGTCAGGGATGAGAGCATCTGGCATGCATGACTGGCAGGGCAGATCTGGCTGAGGGTGACATCAGTAAGGAAGCACAAAGCCTAGTCTCCAGGGAGATGACAGCACGAGAGGGCACCCATGCTCTCAGTAACTCTTCTTTGCCCAAAGCTAAAATTGGAGCACATTTTCTCTGCTAGCAGCTAAAAGGATCCCGTGCTTTGAGAATCATTAGGTACCCCTTTCTCTCAAACAGACTTTCTCCCAAACCCAGGTGATTCAAGTCACAGGGAGGCCCCAGTTCCAGGGTGATTGGAGCTGGATTTAAAGGATTTGCTTAAGGAAGGAAAGAAAGAACATAGCATTCATTGGGCACCTACTATGTGCCAGATGCTTTACTAGGTTCTTTCTTATATTACTTCATTCATTAGCACAGCAACTGCAGAGGTAGATGTTATTACCTTCATATTGCAGATGGGAAATTGAAGGGTTAGGGACATTCTTGACTCCAAGACCCATGACAGAATTGGAACTTGAGATCACTAACCCATTATCACTCCTTGAATGAGCAGAGGGACCTGTTCTACTGGGTTATAACTGTGCTAGTATATTATTACATGAAGACACCTTTTCTGGTTCTTAAACCAGGAGTTAGTTGTTTTTCCATGGAGGAGGCTGAGATGTTCCAGATAATTCTCAGTTCAATGAATTATTATCCACAATATATTAATAACACATGTCACACAATTGTGGATTGGGGCAGGGGTGTATGTTGTGCTGGAGAATGGAGTTGTGTCCTTACGAGATTAGTGTAGACAACTCCCCTTCAGTTAAAGTGACCGCCCCTCAGCTCTCATGGCATGGAGTCCAAACCTTTGTCCATCTGATCTCAGGTTTCAGAAGAAGGAGGATCTCCTGGACCCAGGTTCTGGCTTGGCTTCTGGTGAGCCTTGTGGCCTGGAGACCCTGCAGAAATTCTGGGCTCATCCTCTGTTTAGTACGAGGAAAAGGTCAGTTGGGGCTTTCACAGCCTCAGGGGCTTCAGAGGGAACAGAAAGTGTATGCTGAGGGGACCTGAAGCCATGTTGGCTGTTTCTGACAACCTATGAGTGTGAACATTGGAGGAACAGGAAGCTCTGGAGTTCAGAGGAGTGTGGAGTGGCTGGCCTGGCCAGGGAGGGGGTTTTCCTTAGCCTGGACTGAGAATCCCCTTCCCGCACTTCTAGGAGGGGTGCTGCCTGAGTCCGGTTGGGACTGTCATTCTAATCTCCCATGGGTGGAGAGAAGGAGCACAGACCAGAGTGAGCTTGGAATTAACTGTGTGAAGAGGAGCCTTGAGTCCAGCATCCTGCTCTGCTGCAGGCCACAGGGAGAGCTCTACCACTTGGGCGAAATATGCTGGCTCAGCTCCCTTATCTGTAACTGGGGCATAATCGTCCCTGACTCTTCTAGCTTGAAGGGCTAGTGTGGAATGAGGGAATATGGAGGGGGAGGTAATGGGATAATGTATATGGAAGCACTTAAATAGTACGAAGTGCTTCTCGACTGTAAGAGGTTACCCTCCCTCTTAGCACAGAAGGGGAGGGTGTCTGTGCACTTGCCTGAGGGTGGCACAGAGCACCAGCTCCTCAGCTTGGCCACCAGCTCTCTCACTTGGCGGCTGTGTGATCTGGGGCAGGCTACTGAGATTCTTTGAGCTTCAAGTTCCTCATCTGTAAACTGGAGATCATTGGACCTAGCACAGAGCGTCGCTATAAGGATAAAATGAAACAACATATGTAAAGTCCTTGTATGGTGTCAGGCTCAAAAAATGTTAGTTCCTTTCCCCTCTCCTCTCTAAAATCAACACAGTGTTGTCCTTTCTCCTGTCATAGAATGAGAGGAGAATAGAAATCTCCTTGCTGGGCATCCTTTCAAGCTGGGAATGAGTTATTCTGGTTGGACCAACATGGCCGGGAAAGGAGACCAGCACTAGGACTAGGTTAGAGCACAAACTGAGTTCTTTGAAAGTGCTTTACATGTGTTAACCTGTTCAATCTTCATAGCTGCCCTTGGAGGTAGGAAAAAATGGGCAACCCCATTTCACAGGTGAGACAATTGAGGCACAGAGAGGAAAGAAATGTGCCTGAGGTTACGCAGCTGCTAAGTGACTGAGATGGGATTCTGGATGAAGAGCACATGCTCTTAGCCACTCTGTTGTACCTCGGAGGGTCTCGCTGTCGAGAGGAAGCAGTCAGGAGAGGAAGGAGCAGGACATCCAGCCTCAGAGAAGAGGGCTAGTTCAGTTCTCTGCCCTCCGCTCTCACAAGAAAGGCAGTTCCTGTGAAGAGACACCTGGACCCAGAGGTAGGTGCCAACAGAGAAATTTCTTCCTGAAAAATATTAGCTGCTATTTATTTAGCACCTACCAAGTGTAGGGTATGTTTCCCGGAACCTGGCACATCGATGCCGAAGCTTCTTTCTGTTCCATCACAGTGTGTTAATGCCAGCGACTCTGGACCCCAGCCCCAGCCCACTCGCAGAGAGGGAAGACCATGGAT